GAAGTTCTAGAGAATAGAGAAAAAAATGAAACTTATACATAACATCAGGAAGAGACAATTGAAATTTCTAGAACACATAATGAGGCAAGTGTATTTGGACAATTTGTTATTCACAAGACAGATTTAAGACAAGACGGACAGAGGAATTCAACGCATAAGCTACTTAATAAGCTTAACTAAATGGATAGCGAAACGTGCTTTACATGACAAAAAGTTAGAATATATTTATTGCTACAAAGGTCTTATATATATATATATATATATATATATATATATATATGTGTGTGTGTATTTAGAGTATCGGCAAATGCTTCGATTAATCAATGAGCATCTACATTGGTAGATTTTACATATAAGAAAATAGTTTGTAAATATTCTCAGTTATTACCAATGTAATATAAAAATTGATCTCGTGATGGCGGTTGTTGAATCGCCGAATGAGTATCTTTGTTTTGTTTTACGTTACACTGAATCATTTATAGAAATGCCATTCCATGTTAACACGTCTCAAAGAATCTTATATTAATATATATTCACTGCGGAATAACCATTCTTATATTTAAACGGAATAATCCGCAGAAACAAAGCATAATATCCATAACTGCAATGTAACATTACTTTTTTCTAGAATCATTGTAGGAAATATTAGAATCAACATTTAAGTAACATATGGCTCTGTTAGATGCGTGAATGTATAGGTAGTGAAGCGTTAATAGTACTCTAGAATAAACATTGAGAATGTATTGCTATCAAATATAAACAATGAAATATAGAGAGAGAGCGATTATTTCAGACCGATAGAGTAACTATTGGCAGTTTGATGATCTATAGCACGAATTCTGTAATAAAAATGTAATGTATAATGCGTACAATATCGTTTTCTGCATTTAGAGAAACACTGGAAATCGTTTTGGTAGTGATGTTGCGTTATTAACCTGGCGAGTATAAAATAACTTGTTAAACATTTTGGTGCCTGTTTTTCGATTGTTCCGCAAATTTGGGAAGTTTCCCGAACCAAAACTTTTATGTGTTTAATGTATCTCCCAGTTAATTACATTCCTTATGAAGGCTCAGAAAATGTCATATCTCTGCAGCTTGTCCGATAATTATGTAATCTATCTTTCTTTTTGGTAGTTTAAGATTTCAAATGCTGACTCAAATAATAATAGCGGAATCAGTCGAATTTAACTGCAGTTATCGCACAACGGCGCTTAGTGTCTACCATGGACTTTCATTTACTTATGTAATTAACTATACATGGATAGATAAAGTTTTAATTATAGTCATCTATTTTCTGTGTAAAAATAATGAATTTAGTGTATTTGCCACAGACGTTTATACGTTTAAAATAATTTCCGCATAATTCGCCTATTTTTAATGTGTTTATAACCATATCTTCCTTGCGTATCAATGTGCTAACTTGATGCATATATTTTGTTTAATATTTGAGTGAGTGAGGATTTTCTTGAAATTCATTTACTAAATGAAATAGTTCTTTTTTTTGGTTGGGGGGATTCATATAGGTTTCAATATTTATTATCTATTTACACGGTGCGGCAAAAGTAATACCATTTTTTGAGCTGTGAGGAGGAGGACGTGGAGCAATATAATGGCCATCGGGATTATCATCATACTTTTTCTTGTGGTTTGTACGGAAATAGCGTGGTGATAGCCTCATACCATTCCTGAATTAAAACAATCAATTTTTTATAAATTTTCAGAAACTAATGTAGAAATATATAAAATGGTTTGCAGAAGTGTTTTTGAGTGTTCAAAATTGCATTTGATATTTTGAACAAGTTTGATAATCTAACAGATCATGTTGTTTTTATGTGACAATTACAAATGTTCTTTAATTAATGTAATTCATTTTGTCCAATAAAAAATGATAATTAAAAAGGGCTTTACTTTCGCAGCACGCTGATTTCTCAGTATTTTTTTCTTTCTGTTGTTTTCAATCATAATTACAGCCTATAATTCACCACACTCCTGCATCAACAATGAAACATTCTAATTAACAGAATATCCTTCTATTTTTTTATTAGTTGTTAAATAAATTGTCAAGTTTAATGGAATGCCGCAATGGAAATGGCAAATTATATTTACATTGTCTTTATTTTAATCATTTAGGATGATTTTCATCGTTTAATGTGAAACACAAATGTCTCAAAAACAGATGCAATATTTATGAATAACGTCTATTAATCGGTGACAATAAGTAAAAATGTTGTGTGATTTATTAATGTTTTTTTGTGTTATTTTTTTATCGATTCGTAAAATGTCCCTTGCTATCATTCAGACAAATTAAACAATGTTTTTTTTTTACCTTTTCAGAGGAAATTATGACGAGAGAGATTACTAGTTTATATACATGAATGGATTCATATTCTTCTTTTGTTTTTGAACTCAGTGTATACTATTTAATTTATTTGGAGTATTATGTCATTGAATTGTTTTCTACTGATTGTTTTCAAGTGTCTAATTGTGGTATAGGAGGAAAGAATATACATTAAGTTAGTGTCAGACGTATATATCTCAGCAAATGAACATGCACCAAGTTGTTTGCTTTTAAATAATTATTTTAGCAAAATCACCATTTTCAGTACACGCGTGTGTCTTATCATGAAATCGCTATTAATAATTGGATTCCTCAGTTTTAGAATATCTGGTGATAGTCTGTCGAACCGAAAAGTGACAGCCACGTTTAATGATAGCAGATGAATTATTTCGGCAGTTTGATTTTGGAAACGTGGCATTACCCTCATTTTGAGATTTTGGGTTTTATATTATAAATAAATTCACAGAATATTTATTTCCAAATCGAAAACTTTTTTTCGAGTAAACGAGATTAAAAAAAATCATCTTAAAAATTGGTGCGTTGAAAATCCATTCCAATGATCAGTGAAATTCTCATAGCACAGTCTGAAAAATTATAATTACATATATGCAGTTGGGTAGAAATGAAAAGTGTTAATAAATTTTCTTAACCAATGCTGTGTATAGTAGCCATGATCATTATCCAAACAATAAAACGGTCGAACAAAAAGCAGAAATTTACATTACAAATTTTACAGAACAATGATTTCACCTTCTTTCAATGTTGAAGTCAGTTGAATTAGAGCTGAGCGAAGAGGCTTTAAAATATTCCATTTGATAACTAAATATTTATTCATACTTAATTAGTTATTTCAGTTCACAAGACTAATTTTAAAGTTACATTCAAATTACATCACAAATAAATAACCAAATATTGGTTAATTTTTCCAGTAATTCTTTAGTTTTTTGTTTGAGATGAAGCGTGAAATCAAAGAAAACAATAAAATTACATTCATCAATTCTGAAGCGACACACTTGAATTTGATTTATCTCTCACAAAATATTTTATGAACCTGTGCTGGCAGAATGTTTTTCAAGTAGTGCACTGAACAGGTTCTCATGAATGATATGATGTTGGAGTTGATGAATTTACAGGCACAATCTCAAGGGGTAGAAAACGCAGTTAAACTACTGAAGCTTCACGAACTGTATAGGGACAAGAAGCAATCACAATCACATTATTACTAAATTAATTTGCTATCTAATAAAACCTTCATTTAATTCGAGTGGTAATTATATAAAACAATTTAACTATATTACGATGTACTACAGCGCAGTAGTTTTAATTCGATTTTCAATGAACTGTTCAAATTTTAAACATTTTGTCTTATACTTTTCCACCCATGAAGAATTATGGTGTTATATACAATTTTATCTATTTTTAAATTAATTATAACATAACAAACAGTGTCAGATCTTATTCAATGATTAAAGTTTTTTGTAATATTTTGCAATTTTTAGTTTTCACTCATCGAATACATTAAAAATATTTTCTTTTTAGTGATTCATAATTAGAATTCTCGTTTGAATATATTTTCCATTCAACGTATCTAATAAAAAATATCAACGATATTTGGATTTATTCTTCAAATAGTAAAATGTTGAAATAAGTTTGACAGCAAAAACCTTCAGAAATTAGATATCTCTGTACATTTTTTCAGACGACCTTTAAAACTTAATGTTCGAAAACTGTTAAAACCTCAGTAGGGCCTTTTTAAATCGCAGTGCTTGCACTGAGTATAATGTTAAAGATGGAAAAATCAACATAATCTAATGAATTATAACTTTTGGCAAAAACAGAGACCAATATTTTCACAGCGTTATCATTCCTCATTTTTGACTTTAAATTTCATATTGTTTTTATTTAGAGTGTAATGTGCCTATGTATCATATATGGTTCTTCATTGGCGAAATTTGAACTCAAAACCACGGAATACTTATGTCTTTCGGTGCTAACGCGTGTTGTAACGGTCAAGTGACATTATGCCCGAACTAGTTTCAGTATATAACTAGTGCAGGTCTTTTGGTAGCAGCATAGCTTTAGTGTTTGTCTCAGCAAGTTCGAGATTTTAGTTTTTGCAAAAAACAAAAATAAAAATAAAAATATCAGTAGAGTTAATATTCCAAAATTTGCAAGGGCAAAAATGTTGAAAACGTTCGACGTGTTGTTGACTCATTAGTATTGGCTGCATGGGTATTTTGTAGATTTGTTTCATATCTATTTTTATACTTACATTATTTACATAATTCGGATTGTTATCCCCATCTTCATTGAAATATTAACAATGTTTCGGACATTGTACGTTCCGGCTTACTGGAATTTCTAAATGAAACCCGGAGTTGATTTTTCCTAGTTTCACGTGCCACGCCTCTCTCGGATGACTTAGTTTTTTCATTTAACTCAACTCTCCATTTTTTGTTTCACCGCTGCTGTGGTCTGGTATTGAACCCACAACTCTTTGGATCTAGTCACTGGATATATTCAACTACTTGTGAATATGGCAATGACGATTAGGATAACTGTCCGAATAATGTAAGTAATCCTAATACCTCATCACAGAAATATAGAAATATATATGTATTTCTATTTTCCTTTTGGATTACGACCACACATTAAATTAAATTAAAACACCGATTCTCCTACGAACTCCAAAGTTAAGCAATGTTCAGTCTTCTCAGTACTTAGATGGGTGACCGTTTGGGAAAACCAGGTGCTATAAGCTTATATGTGCGCATTGTTTATTGGATAAATTACTCGGAATTGTTAATGATAATCGAGTTCCAATTTCCGTTGAGTTTATTATATTCATTTACGCGAAATTACATTTGGAAAGTTATGAATCTATGTCTCCCCACTCCCGATATGTGCTAATTAGTAAGACTTATTTCATTATTAACTCAAAAATTACTTTTAAAACATTTTCTCCATCAAAATAAACAACAAATTGTTAAGTCACAGAAAATAAATGAATGAAAGAATCAATCTCCCTTACGCGTCCCCAACCAAACACAGGGAGAGAGAGGGAAAATAAAAAAAAATGAGTCGTATAGTTTAAGGTAGGAAGAACGAGATGGCTTCGGAAAGTGATATTGGACTGAAGCTGTGATATATAAAAAACACGAGAGAATTCAATTTTATTTCACTCGGGTCTATAGTCAGACTATAGTTAGACTAGTGTAACGATGCAAATTTTAGTAGCATATATTTCAATCAAATATTCTGTGCAATCTTATGATCGTCGTATTTCTTCAGTGTCAAGTATAAATCAGTAATACTCGCCACATAGATTTCGCATAATCAATACAATGTGTTTGCATCAATTTCTCATGTTTGTCTAGTAATTCTTGTAGAATTGATATTTGTCGCGTGCAGTTATTATAAAATCATCTATCTCAGTCGCTTATTTGTTTCATGGTTATCTATACCAGCATCCATAATTTTTAATGCACATATCTTTGGAAAATGATTTTATTTACAAATGTTTGTCATTTGTATATGATGTGGGGCCAAATTTGGGACCACAGAAGTAAAACACGGAACACGGATTAGAAGTAAGAAAGATATATTAACAACAGGTTACAGAGATAGTGTAAGCAGAGCTTACTATATGTTAGTGTCCAATACTGGAAGTCGTACGCGACTCTCACTGTGTCTCTATGTCACTCTCTAGAGTGCTATGTCGCCTACTTAATATAGGCCTGGAAGAGTTTATTGTGTAGGTAGTTTCCGGTCTCACAATACCCCATCTTCCAAAGATTTTTCTTTTTGAAAAGGAGAGAAAAAATAAAACTGTTAATACTTTTTCCTCTAGGGATTTACGTCGAGCGGTTGAGTAAATTTACTTTTCCTTCCTGAGCGTCGCACTTCAGGAGAGACGTGGCATGTCTAGATCGAACTAGAGGTCTTGATGCGTGAGCCACAGCTTTTCGCGAACCATCTGGCAGTTTATGCAGAATGCAAGCACCAATGCCGTACGAGCTTGCATCACTTGCGACTATGATGTCGTGATTAGGGTCGTAATGAGTGAGGGAGAGGTCTGAAGTAAGAGTTTTCTTGATCTTCTCGAATAAGTCTTGGCATTCCGGGGCCCATGACAATGGTTTGTCCTTTTTTAAAAGTTGGTTGAGAGGCCCTCTCAAATTTTACAAGTTCTTAATGAACCCTTGGTAAAAATTAGCTAGGCTGAGGAAGCTTTGTAACGGTTGAACGTTATCTGGGGCCGGCATGTTTCTGATCGCGTTGGCTCTTTCTGGATCCGGCCGACGACCATCTTTATTTATAATGTGACTTAAGTATTTAATCTCTGCTAAGAAAATGTCACACTTTTCCTCCTTGACCTTAAATCCGTATTCTTGTATTTTTTCGAATACGTTTATTATATGGTTCCGGTGCTCTGCCATAGTTTTACTAGTAACCAGTATATCATCCAAATAGGCTGTCGCGTAGTCAAGATCGCCCAGCATGGCGTCCATGACCTGCTGGAAAATTGCAGGCGCAACCTTTACTCCAAAAGCCAGTCCAGATTGTACTCTGCGAGAATATTATATCTTTTTCAGAGTTTGAGCCTTTTAATGCATTTACGAGTAATTCTTTAAGTTGTTTCTGTTGTAGTTCAGCATTTTGAAGCGTAATTTTTGGGAATTCCATTTGTTGCTTTTGTAATTTCAAAAATAGTTGTTGTTGTCATTCTTTTGATTTTTGTTGCTGATCCAAATTTAATTTTAACATTTGGGCAACTACTTTTTGAAAATCTTCCATATTTAAAAAATGACAGGGCTTTTTTGTTGCTTTGAAACACGTGTACTAAGAGGAGATACACAAAAAATCTTGGACAGATTTTTGTTCCTTTTTTTTTCTTTTACAGAGAGAAAAAAATATGGACAGACAATTAGTTAAACTAAACCAATTATATGTGTTTAGCTTTTTTTCCCTGTGGTCCCGTCAATTTTGACATAATTGAATAAATTTTCATCACACTTATGTATTTTTATTTTATAGTTATAAAAAGAGAAATCTCACCTCAGTGAATTTGAGGGGGAATAATTTTATGCACGAGTTCAACTCAGTTACATAAAAAAAAATTTAGATAGTTCTTTTTCAAAAACCTGAGTACAATGGTAGTACTTCCGCTCTTGTATTGTCAGTTTGGTTTACGAACAACTGTTTTTTTTTCGCTGCGTGTGTGGGTGTGTAGTAATCGTTCTCGTATTGAACAGACTTTAATATTCCGTAGATGTCGAATCGCTAGTTTGTCAATGGCGTTTGGTACTGGAATATATGTAGACGCTGGGATTTTAGCTTTTAAATCGCTAATGTATTAATACCAGCTTAATTTCTCGTTCAACACTGCTGTGGGAACGTGGGTAGTTTATGTATTTTTCGAATACTGTCGCTATAAAAATGGTGAGAACGAAATTCTCGAATCTTTTCTGTCGCCACTGTTGTGGGACTGGCAAGATATTGCGGTTTTTCGACCTGAATGCGTTTCTAGAATTCTTCGTCGACCCAGATGTGGGATTGGTAAGGTATTTAGGTTTCGCCGTGAGTGCGTTTCTCGAATCCTCGTCGCCGCTGCTGTGGGGCCAAAGTTGGGACCAGAGAAGTAAAACACGGAACACGGATTAGATGTAAGAAAGATATATTAACAATAGGTTACAGAGATAGTGTAAGCGTAGCTTACTATAACACTCTCTAGAGTGCTATGTCGCCTACTGGAAGAGTCTATTGTGTAGGTAATTTCCGGTCTCACAATATTATAATACTTGCCTCTTCAAAAAAATAATTTTAACTCCAGTTTTTGGTTTCTTGCGTTATTATTATCCTACTAAGTGACACTGGGTTCTATTCAGAATATATAGAAATTGAGTAAGCGAGTCACCAAGCTCTATATTCCTATCAGATGCTGTCTGTAAGCATTGAAACCAATATTTTTGTTTCATGGTTCAAATCTAGTTAGATTATTTCTCTACTACCATTATTTCAACTTATATAAAAAAAAATCAACATCCCTCTTTCTTTGAGATGGTCCATGATATAGCAGTTATTTTTTTTTATTTTTCATATATTTTTAGCTATAGTCCAGCAACTGACACTAACAACTTCTATTGCAAGCGAATTTATAACCGTAATCCAATTACAAACCATTGCACCCTATCCGCGATGTAGCATTTTGTTTGTTCAATTACCGCCCACTGATTAATAAAATCTCATTGCGGCGAGATTTGGGAATTATTTTCCACTGATAATTTACAGACGGCGCGAGATTTGAAAGATTCAATTTCTTTCACGGTGACAGGAAAAGACGCGTCTTTTTTTCGCTCCTGCGTAAATCAACTACATACACTTTAAGTTGCTTTAAACATTATACATTTTATTTCATGTCTCATTTTTTTCTTTTGTAAAAATTACAGACAATATATTCGTTAATACGTTTTTGTTCAAATTCTGTATCTTCTTATTCCTTTGGATTTATACGAGTCCACTGAAATTTTTATCGGGTCAAATGTACCAGGAAAATATAATTTTGCATCAAAAGAGTACATATCCGCTACAAAGTGGTGACACCGAAATGATGTATCATTGATATATATTTAATATAGATTTATATTTAATAGGAAGAATTTCAGTACAGGCTGCAGCTAGGAATAATTCGACCTTCCAAGATTCAGTGGTCATCGTCGATGCACATGGCACCGAAATCGAATACTTCTGCCTGATTTCAGTGTGGCGAATTCCGACGATTAAACTCGTCAGCATCCGACATTGCTACCCTATCCCCATATACATAATTTCGCGGTGAGTTTGCAGGGTATGAAAATTTTCACCAGACTTGACTTAATGAAGGCGGAATACCAAATCCCCGTCGAGGAAAGCGATGTACCAAAGATTGCTGTCACCACTTTTTCAGTTTCTTCGAAATCAATAGAATGCCGTTTGGTTTAAGAAACGCAGCCCAATCTTTTCAAAGGTTGATGGATGAAGTATTAAGGAGTTTATCTTTCACTTCTGCATACATCGACGATGTATTAATAGCAAGGAGAAATGTTAACGAGCACCATGGATCATCTGAAACTTGTTTTGAACGCTTGTAGCATCTTGAATTGAAAATTAACGTCGATAAATGCACATTTGGTGTTAAAAAATATTTTGTTTTTAGGACATGCAATAAACCAAACAGGAATATCACCTCTACCTGAGAAGATAGCTTTTATAAAAAAAATTCACACCAGTGTCAATATTCATCTTTGAAGGATTGCTAACGTGCTTAATTACTATGGATAATATTTGCCACAAATTTCCTCGAAGTTAGCCCCACTGAAAGAGATTAAAAAGCAATCAGAAAAAGAATGCTCAAATTTTACTCCAAGATCCTGCTTTTAGCGCTTTCCACAAAGCAAAGAAAGCCTTGGCGAACTTCGTAAAGCTAAATTACCTAAGTGACAATGAAAATAAAAACTTTAACAACATATGCCTCATCAAACGCTGTTGGTGCCAATTTAAAGCAAAATATTAACAGAGACAACAAACCTACATCCTTTTACTCTCTCAAGCTAAATTCCTCACGGATTAAATACAGTGCATTTTCGAGAGAACGTCTCGCTATCTGTTTAGCTATTCGATATTTCCTTTAAGAGAGACGCGGATTCACGGTATTTACTGACCACAAGCCACTGATTTATGCTTTCGAGAGCAAGCTCGACAACTATTCGCCACGTGAA